TGCGATATATTTTTCTTGTGAGTTAATAATGAAGCCGTAATTTAATTTATGACAATTTACTATATTTTCTTTAAGAATAATCTTATTTGTGATCAGATTTTGATCCCTTTTTGGTTCTTCAAGAATAATCTCATTTGTGATCAGATTTTGATCCCTTTTTGGTTCTTCAAGAATAATCTCATTTGTGATCAGATTTTGATCCATTTTTGGTTCTTCTACATTATTATAGTCATCTAAATTAGTTTGAGAAAGTTTTTCACTTTTTTTGTTGTTTTTTTTCGGACCAATATTATCATCTTGAGTTATGTTAAGATATTCTTTGCTGGTTTTTTGAATTTGCCCAAAGGTTTGCTGTTTAATTATACTAGGAAAATTTTGCTCATCGGGACATTCTTTGATTTTTTCTCGAATTTGATTAGAGACCTTCTTTCTGAATATATTAAATATTTTTTTTTTTTCGTTTTTTTTCGATCACTATTTTTTTCACTATTTTTACATTGTTTGTTAATAGTATATCGAGGTCTTTTGTTTAATCACTTTTTTTTACTAAAAACTTGATGCACAATATGCACCCACCTGGAATTTATATTTGTTTGCTGTTTAATTATGGTAGAAACATTTTGCTCATCAGAGCGTTCTTTGATTTCTTCTTCACTATTTTATATCGAGGTCTTTTGTTTTTATTCACTTTTTTACTAAAAACTTGATGCACAATATGTACCCACCTGGAATTTATATTTAACTGTTCTAGCTCACTATACATCTTAATTTCATTACCATCTATCTTATTTTCTATAAATCCAATAGTTTCTTTTGCGCATTCTTCAAGACAGATTAAAATTTCCTCCAGTGTTGGACGTCGATCCGGATCAGTTGACCAACATTTTGTATAAATGTTTACATAATTTGTGGGTGTGTTGGAGATAACACGTTCTCTTTCACCTTTAAAAATTCTAAATACTAACTGTTCGTAACAATTTAATTCGCGAAATGGTGGAACTCCGCTTGTGAGTTCCCACAGAAGAACGCCTAAACTATAAATGTCAGATCTCTTATCATGTGTCATTTTGTAGTT